TAATACACGCATAGAAAGAAAACACGCTAATAATGAAGAGCGGATGGAAAGAATCAGCTGATAAACGGATGACGAACTGATGGACTGATATTTCCTTGTTTCTGACCACAAAAGTGTGTTTCCATCACAAAAATAATGAATATCTGAGACATTTAGAGTACATTTAGAGATAGACATTAGAGTTTCTGTCATGAGATTTCAACTATCGCTTCTATATATTAAACAGGTTATTCAGTGGCTAATAAAAATATCTACAGATCAATGTTATTAGTGTTAATTTAAACTAAAACTATTAAAACATTTATGTTAGCTGAAATAAGCTGAACCAAAATAAAATATAAATATATATGTTTTAATTATTTGGCTGAAGCACTAAAATTATGAATTGAAAATAAATAAAAACTGAAAAAAAAAAAAAATGAAACCTAAATAGTGATCTTAAAAAAGTAAAACAAAAAAAAAATGACAAAAGTAAAAAATAAAACTTAAATTACAATAAAAGCTAAAAATATAAATGATAAAACCAACAATTAATGATTGTAATAAATACTGCTAGTATATAAATAATACTAACATAACACTGTGAACAAAAATTTAACTTAAATTACAATGAAAGCAGAAAATATAAAAAAAGCTAATTAAAAATTGTAATTAAAACTATACTTGTATTTAAATAGTACTAAAATAATACTAATATAATATAAAATAATAGCAATTTCTACATTTATCTGAACCCAAATGTAAACAATTTAAATGAATATGTAAAAAAAAAAAAAAAAATGTTAATTAAATATTTGAAATTAAAATTAATATATATATATAAAAAAAAAGACATATTGAGAAATATATTGGTAGTTTTTGAATCTGACATGCGCACAGAAAGAAAGCAGTGTAGTAATTAAGAGCGGATGGAAAGAAGTAGAGAGCGATGTTCTGGGTGGGACTGATTAGAGACGGTGGTTCGGGTCTGTGTGTGACTCTGGAGGTGTGCTCTGGTTAGGAGGTTAATTAACCTGGTTAATTAGTCTGGGATGATCTGCAGCGATGAGGCGTCAGATATCTGGGACGCTTGAAGTCTGACTGCAGACGCTCTTGAGTTAAAGCATTTGTACAGAATCTGCTGTTTGGAGATGATGCTTATATCTCATGTTTAGATAAACTGATGTGGGTTTAATCAAACGGTTCATGTGTGTGTGTGTGTGTGTGTGTG